TGTGTTATATTACTTGATGGCAACTGAGGGGCCAGGCGCGCTCGCCGCAAGCTGCGCCACCCGTAGCCAGTATTTGTCGAATGCGGCCTTCCATTGGATGTCTAGAGTGACGGCGGGACCGATGAGTACCCCTAGATAGCGGGCGTACTCGGCAATTTGAAAGTGCTGCCACTCTGGGACTAGAAATTTGAGCAAGCGCTGAGTGAGGGATTGTACGGCAGGTGAGAAGGCGGCCCACAAGGGCACAATCACTGTCTTCTGAATCTGAAGTTCGAGTCCTGCGAGAGTAGCAATGGCCCGAAAAGGGGGAAGGAGGAAATGGAGAGTCCCCAGGCGAGCGAGGACAAGGCCCAGATCATCTGCGCAGGCCCCGAGCTTATTAGATCCAGGAAGAATGTTTAAAATCTGGGCGAGATGACGGATGGGGGCATCAAACGCAAGGGCCCAGATTGATCCTGAAAGAGGACAGCACTGCAGCACCCCAGAGCCGATTTCGAACATGTATTGAAGCTGGCCACCGACGCGGGCCCACGCCCCTGGAGAATGGTAAAGCGCACGGATGACATTGAGATACCCTGGGGGAACTCCGTGAGCCGCCAAAGAAGCAAACAGGAATTCCCATCCTAAGGATGGGAAGGCGGCCTTGATATCGAAACTGACTAAGATGGGAAGGGCATCTAGGGCAGCTGGGGAATGGCCTGCTCTACGGGCTTCAGAATCTAGCGTCAGAACGTGTTGTCCAAAATTACGGCCCTTTACAAATCCCTGTTGCGTGTCTACCGTTCTCTCTTTTACCGCATCCACTAAGCCCATGTTCACGACGTGGGCAATCAGTTTGGCGTCGCAGTTCTTTAGGGAGAGGGGGCGAGTGGCACCTGGAGCACGAAATGCGGCGTATTGGTCCTGGGGCTCATCACCTTTTGGAAGAAACGCGAAGACGGAATCGTTGAACTGAAACGGGGCCATTCCTGTTTCGAACATCTGCATCATGAGGTCATATGAGATCTGAGAGGAGCCTGGAGAGGTAGCCCATGCAGCATAAGGTATCTGGTCAGGGCCTGGGGCAGTGTGACGTACCTTACGTAGGGCTCTCTGAAAGTCCTGAAGAGCTGGAACCCGCAGGTCCGCGCAATCGAAGACGGGGAGGTGCTGGGCCAAGTACGAGTGGACTGCGTTGGGGTCCACGTTCTTGCTCGAGAAGATGGGCTGCCAGAACTTCTGAAGACCTCCGAAAATGCCCTCGGGAGAGCTGGTGGTGGGGAGGGCTTTGTTGGGTGTCCCCTCTTTCGGAATCCTAAGTCCTGCTAGAACGAGGCGTCGACGAAAAGGGTTCCAGGCCTGCGCTCGGCGCATGAGCTGCAACGCGGCCTTGCGGCTGCCGGCCTGGTCCATCTGCATCTCGGCGTGGGACTGGAGCTGGCGCTTCGTAGCGATGGCGACGCGTCTGTCATAGTCTGCGGTAACTGCTGCATCCATAAGCTCGATGTACCCGTCTCTGTTGATGAGCTCGGGCCCATTGTCGGTAAGGTGAAGGCGAGCGGCGCCAATGTCCGTCGTGGCCATGAGGAGTGCAGCTGTGTCTGAGTCTTTTCGCCATACCGTCCGAGCAATGGCACGTAGTGTAGTAAGCCTCCCATGCTTCGCCCATCGGCTTTGATCATGTAGGGTGGCTCGCTGTTGAAGATTACGAGTGAGGCGAGCCGCTTCTTTGATGATGAGCTTGTGTTGTTTCCAGGCTCCAGTTGGCGTGAGAGCTGCCGAGGCGATGTTGTCCTTCAGGAAGTTGAAATGGCGCAGGTACGTGGGATCGTGGAAGATGAGCGGATCAATGGCCTGTTCCTCCTTCTGCGCCGCCGATGCGTTGACCAGCAGCAGGTGCAGGATCGCATGGTCACTGAGGCCTTTATCTGATAAGGCAGCGCCGTCTTTGTGGATCTTGAGGCGGGCGTCAACATTCATGAGATCGATGCCCGACAGCGATGCGAAGATGCGATCTATGGCGGTTGCCGCTTGTGTGTTGGCCGAGAAGGGCGTGGGCAGGTCGTGCGTAACTTCCGTGAGCGAGGCAAACAATTGGCGCCAACGTGCTTGTTCGCGCTGATACTGTCCATCAGGTGCCATTGGGCACCAGCGTGCTGATGGATCCTTGAAGTTAAAGGAGGGGGCCGCGCTGGTGTTGAAATCGCCCATGGCAATGAATAGCCGCTGATGAGGGTACTGCGCTGCCCATTGACGGGAAGCATGCCACGCTTCCGTCACTCTATCCATATCCTTAGCCTGCAGGTCGTGATTGTGTACATTCATGATGAGCGTTTCGAAGCCTGTGGTGTGGTTGGCCACATGGGGGACAGCCGCCCTCCCGCGTATCACTGGCCAAAGTGAGGTGGAGGTCGTCGTCATCGATGGCGTCGGCACTAAGAAGGCAATGCCGCCCTTGCCGCGGTTGTGAGGGAAGCCACTGAAGAAGGCCTGATAGTCGTAGGGAAGCTTGCCGAGGTGTGATTCGAGATCGAGCTGTGTGCTGTGCACCTCTTGGAGAGCGATGAGCGACTGCTTGCGCATAAAGGGAGCGAGCTGCCGAATCTTTCCCCAGCGCTTGGCATCATCATGGCAGAGTAGCCCGCGAGCGTTCCAACAGATGTAACTGCCTGCCGTATCAGCTGTAGAAGGGCGTGTACGTGTACGTGTAGTCCGTGGCCGACAGTTGCTGAATGGCGAGCTGGAGTCCGACGAGGATGAAGAAGCGCTAGAAGAGGACGATAACGAAGAAGCCGAAGATGAGCTGAAAGTTGAGGCCGAGCCATTCTGAATCATATCTATATTGGGAATGTGATCTTGCTCGGGAAGAAGTAGAGCTTGCGCGGGATGAGGCAGATCATGCCGCGGAAGTAGCGAATCTGGTGGGCACTCCAGGCCCGAGAAATCTGAAATAACATCTGAAAGGTTCTCCTGTTCCTTGGGGGCACCAGGGGCGTCCCAATCCCCGCGTGCTTGTCGTCGCAGTGCAGGTGGAACTGCTGGTGCTCTATGATGCTGAAGATCTGATCTGGGTTCCTGTGGCGCACATTCAGGCTGAAGAGGAGCTTGCGCAGCTTCGGGGCAAGGAGGCTGGAGGTCAGGAGCTGGCCGAAGGTGCTGTAGAGGATGAGGCCAATGTCCTCGTGGTGCTTCAGACCCAGGAGGTCTAGCATGGTCTCCGTCTGTGGTCGTGGTTCTCCATGGAGACCAGCGTTTGTTAAAGCCATTGTACTGTGTCCTCAGCTTTGTAGAGAGCGGCAAATTCTGCAGCGATGGTGGCTTTGTTGATAGGAACCTTGGACAACGCATCTTGATTCCAACGAATGACCGTGGCCGCGTCCATGCCAGTGAGCTCCAGTTTGGCGGTGGGGATGGTGTTGCAGAAAATACGTCCTTGATCACGACGCGCGCGCCAATTGCGCGTGGGGTAGTGGGCCTGACAGAGAGCGAGTAGCTTTTTAGTTTGAGTTTCCATTCTGATGCGCTTGATGTTCTTATCGGGGTTGACGTAGAGCGGGACGTACTGGCCGTGGTTGATGACGCAGTTAGTGGGGGTCTGAACTGTGAACTTTCTGTAACCTCCTCGTCCTGGAAGCTGAAGGGCACGAGCGAGCGCAATGGATTTGGTAATGGCGACAGATCGGCCGCCCAGAAGCTGAAGCATGTAGCGCCGATTGGGTCCTTCACCGTGAATCTGGAACTGCTGCGGGGCCACTTCAGCTGCATCCAGCCATTCTGTGATGGGCGTGCGAACTGCGGCAGCGTCGACGGGCTGCGCGGAGGAGAGAATGTAGATGGCGGGATCGGGCTCGCGATCCCAGTCTGAGAGCTTGGCCATGTCCAGGATGGGAGCATCGGCTTCGCCCAGGCTGAGCTGCTGATTGATACGCTGGATGGCGCTCCAGACTTCCTTATGTTGTGATTCTTGTTTGGCTTGAGCGATCTTGATAGCCATGAGGTCTTGTTCTTGCCCATCCAATCTGCGAGTGGTAGCTGCTTCGTGTCGCTGTAGAGCGGCAATGAACTGCGTTTGCGAGGCGGATACTGTTTCTCCAACTGCGGTATTGATTGCTGCCACTTGTGATGCCATGATATGCTTGAGCTCGCGCTGAATGTCTGGGTCCAACGTTGATTGAGACCACGGTCCGCCTGCTGGCGTGGCGGTGCCTTCTGCTGCATGAGCTGGGGCGGCAGGAAGCTGTGCGGCGGGTAGTTGTGCGGCTTCGTGGGTGTCGCGTGTGGTTTGAGCTTCATGGTGTTCACGTGCTTGTCGTTCTTGCTGTGCGTGTTGATGAGCTTGCCAGTGAGCTTGTTCTTGAGAGGGAAAAGTAGGTGCTGCATCGAGTTCTTCCAGTGCTGCTCGCTGCCATGCGTCTTGCGTGGCTGCTGAATGAAATCCACGAGGGGCGCCGTTAGCTTCACGTTCGAGAGGGCCTTTAGAGCGTCCACTGTGTCCTTTGTGCGGCGGGCGTGAACCTTCAGATGAAGAAATGCGTTGGCGTCGATCCTTATCACGTCGGCGATGTCGATCACGGTCGCGGTCTCTATCTCTGTCGCGCCTTGCTGAGTGTCTGCGGCGATCCCGACGGTGTCCACTGGCCTGACTTCTGCTCTTGGAGTCACTTCGTGAAGAGGCGGAGGCGGAGTCCATACGGAAGTGTGGTACAGCACTATGCCACGTGTTGCCTGTCCGATACCAAGCGAGAGAAGAGCCAATCCAAATACCTGCAATCGAATTAGTTGAATTAGTAATTGTGTGACAGTGAGCTTCGTCTTGCGAATATGGAGCGGAGCCGTGGGCTGGGCGGCCTCACGGTCCAGTGAGTTATAGAATGGAACCGAGCTGAACGGCCAGCTGCCTTGAGCCAGAATGGCTTGAGCCAAAATGGCTACGGAGGAGGAGGAGGAGGAGGAGGAGGAGGAGGAGGAGGAGGAGGAGGAGGGGCAGCAGCGGGGCGCGAGCACAAAGAGCGGCCCCGCTCCTGGAGGCAGCGGCGCGCTTAGTGGGCGTCCGCGCCAACCCAGGCCGCCGCTGCCGTTGGTGCCGGCTCGGCCCGCGCCGGCGCTGGACTGATGCGGCGCGGGGGCCTGAGAGGCAGCGGCCGCGGCCGCTTCGCCTGCGGGGGGAGTGCGGGGGAGGGAGGGAGGGAGGGAGGGAGGAGGGGAGGAGAAGGAGGAGGAGGAGGAGGAGGCTGAGAACGAGGAGGAGGAGATGGAGGAGGAGGAGAAGAGGAGGAGGGATGGAGGGAGGGAGCGGCAGCGGCCGCGGCCGCTTCGCCTGCGGGGGGGGGTGCGGGGGCGAGGCGCCGACATACGTCCAGAAGGTCGGCCCTATGAGAGCACGTCAATTGGGCCGGAGCCCGAGATGCGCTTTGGATCCCTGTGTGATCCATGAGCGTGAAGCTCGCGGAGGAGGGGCGGCGACGACGAAGACGACGACGAGGAACAACAACCAAGACAAGTCGGCAAAAAGCCTACACTTTGGAAAAGGCCGGCCAAGAGCCAACGTTTACGCGTCAGCATGCATTCGGAGTGGCGGAATAGGAGCGAAGTAATGCGAGGTGCACTATTCAACTGAAGGCATGCGCTCCTCAGGAGGCCTACCATAAATCGAATGATGATGCCCTGATTATTTTCTTCATGCATTGCCGACGATTGTGAATCTTTTACTGGGGTTGTCTGGCGAGCCAGAAACTCTGTCCATTACTGTCGAAATTCGGATTCACGCCATCAGCTCCAATAGCCAAGTCTTGTCTGTACTCATCTCTGACTACGCAATTTTCAGAAGATGTATACAACGCTTCTCCCGAATCCGCGGAGTCGTACTTGAGAGCCACTTGCTGCCTGAATCCGGGTGCCAATGTGCAACTGCACATTGCAATCTGCTGAGCGACCCTGTCGCATTATTCCACGTGACCTGGGCTGCAGCAGCGGGCCAATCATAATGTTCACGCAACTGAAATTTTCCCCAATCAGAGCTTGCCTCGGTAGGGTTCCTGGCGGATTCATATGGTTAGGTGAACATTGCCGCCGATTTCTGCGGCCCGCCCTGGTGCCCGGGTGCCTGGGTGCCCAGGTGCCCGGGCGACTTCTAGCCCTATGGCCCTATAGCCTTCTAGCCCTATAGCCCTGTAGCCCTATAGCCCAACAGGCCTATAGCCCTATAGCCCTATATCCTGATAGCCTTATAGCCCTATCGCCCTAGAGCCCTGAAGCTCTATAGTCCTATAGCCCTATAGCCCCATAATCCGATATAGCCCTATATAGCCTTACAGCCCAATAGCCCTATAGCCTTGTAGCCCTATAGCCCTATATTCCTATAGCCATATAGCCTTATAACCCTTTAGCCCTATAGTCCCTATAGCTCTGTATGCCTATAGCCCTATAGCCCCATCGCCCTATAGTCCTATGGTCCTATCGCCCCAAAACCCATAGCCCTATGGCCCTATAGCCCTATAGCCCTATAGCCCCATAGCCCCATAGCCCTATAGCCCTACAGCCCTATAGCCCTATGGCCCTATAGCGCTATAGCCCTACAGCCCTATAGACCTATAGCCCTATGGCCCTATAGCTCTATAGTTCCATAGCCCTGTAGCCCGACAGCCCCATCGCCCTATAGCCCAATAGCCACATAGCCCTCTAGCCCTAAGCAGACTTCGATTTTTTTCTCCATTGTCATGTGCTGAAGTATTGAATATCCTATGCCATCCCAGCGATCGTCTATTTCTGCAAGTGCCCGAGCATGTCCGCGACATGTTTTATGATGTTCGGGCCAGCCGCTGCCTGCCAACTTGCGACATTCTGCTATTCCTGCCAACATATCAAGTGTATCCTTCAGTTCTTCAACGCTGCCTCCGAAGTCCGCCGACCCTTTGTGGGTCCTCAGGCGTGTGAGATTGTTCCCCCCCATAATCCCCCCATGGGGGCCACAAACCTCGAATTAAACCCCCCCCGGGCCGCGCCAGGTTCCGGACAATGCGCGCCAAGGGGGGGGAACGCCCCAAAATGTTCCAAGAAGGCACCAAGACGCCCCCCCACGCGGTCCAAGAGGGCCGCGAATCGTTGGAATATCGACCCCAGACGCCGGCGATGGTCCCCAGACGCTCTCCGCAGCCTCCAAGACAACCCAAAATGCCCCGAAGATGTGCCCCAACAGGGTCCCCAGACGCAAAAATGGCCCCATTCCCTTCGTAAAACGTGCCTTTTTTCGCAAACTCGCTTTCCCGCCTGTCCGACGCTCCAAGACGGCCTATGACGCCCCCGAAGTCGCCCCAGGACGGCCCAAAAGGCCTTCAAGAGGGCCCCCACATTGCCCCAGAGGGCCTCCAGACGGCCCCAGACGCACCCGACACGGCCCAAGGCCGCCTGAAAACGAGCCCGCGAGAGGGCCGGGAGGGGGACCACGATCCAAAAGGCAACCAAAAGGCCCTCAGGAGCTCCCAGGAGGTCCCCCTAGAACCCCCTAAGACGAACCCATGAGGC